AAATAAGCAGCGTTTAGGATGAAGCTGAGGGGCTTCAAGTGGCTGTAGGAGGTCAGAGAGAGGCTCCTGAGCTGGGGGTGTCTGTCTGGTCGTTCTGCAGCCTGTGGCCCAGTGAGATGCAATGGTCTGAGCTACATTCCATCCTGCCCTCCCCAAGGGAACTTTAGTGGGACCCTCAGATCTTCACTAGAGTTCTTCTGGTTGCTGTTAACCAACTCAGTTCACAGGCTCCAACCCTCCCTACTCTTTCTGAGCCCCTTTCCCTACTTCCACATCTTCATTTTCAGATGACAAAGGCAGCCTTTCTGCAGGAGGGGAAAGCAATCACTTAGGATCCCCTTAATTTTTCTTTCCTGTCTACTAGCTGGTCACATTTTGTATCCACCCGAACATGCTTTTCTTTCTGTCTGAGAATGAGATATTTTTCAAAGCTAATCAATCCATCCACCTGTACTTTTGATCCTTTCTTCTTAACGATGTGCTTCCTCAATTACCCGCTTTCTGTAGTTTTGATGTTTGTCTCCCCTTGTTCCTTCCCAGCTTATACAACTTGCCAGTATGTATACTTAGCACAGTGTCTGGAAAATAGCAGGAGGTCAATAAATGTTAGTTCATCTCCTCTGATGCTTCATGTCTTCCTTGTCCTGAGAAAAGCTGACATCTTTTCTTGACACCAGAATCTCCCCAAACTCCCACACGCTCCTTTCTCAGGCTTCTTACACAAACATCCTGTGTTTCTGGTCTTTCTCCATTCCTATTGGCTCTTCTAATTTTCACCCTCTCCTCTTCATAACTGACTGGATTATGAAATCCTGTGTCCTTTTATTCGTCATCCAACTGGACCCCTCTATGGCATTTGACAATACTGACCACTTCCTCCTTTTAAAATGTTCTTCCTGGATTTTTTTCAACACTTCTCTGTCCTGGTTCTCCTCTTCATCTGCTCTGCTTCATTTTTCTTTAGTGAATAGTTTGTCCCCACCTATTTTGTTCCATAATTGCTGGAAAAGCCAGATTTCTGTCCTTAGCAAGTTTTCCTTAAGGCATACACCTTCCTCATCCATGCCCATGGCCTGGACTCACACCTGTTTGCAGATAACTCCCAAATCTAAATTTCTTTTCCAGACCCTCATTTCCCACAGGAGATCTGTTTCTATTTTCTGAGGAATCTAGTGTTGCAACTCATACTCAATATGACCAAAACTGAACTCACTGTCTTTCTCTCACGCATTTTTCCTCTGCCTGTGTTTCTGACTGGCGTAAAAATGTCACCTGGTATCTAGATCCCTACAGCCTTCTGTGCATTAGGCACATAGAAATTTAGACCTGTTGTATATTTCTGGTGAATTACATTTTTAATTACATAGAAATCTTCTCATAATGCTTTTTTGTATAGCTTTTTTGGTCAATATTAAGATGACTCCCTTAACTTCCTTTAGGTTAGTATTTTCCTGGTCTATTCTTCCCATTCTTTTACTTTTTCATTATCCTTATATTTTTATGTCTCTCTGGTATATAGCCTATTGCTATAATTTACTTTTTAGCCCACGCCAACAATCTCTATCAGTTAACCACTATTTCGTCTATTTTATCCATATATTTGAGCTGTCATCTTTGTACTTCAATTTGTCCCACCTTTTTGAGGCTTATTTTTTGCTCTCCTTTGGACAGTTACCTTCCCATTTCTTTGCTTTAAATTCTTATTTCCTATTTCCCCTCCACTATTTAGGATATTATTTACTTTTTTTTTATTTGTAATGAATATCCTTGATACCATACAATGCATATTTAATAATTTACCTAATATAACAATTTTATATTGGATACACAATGTCCAAAGTTCACCAAAACTTCATAGCTTTTGTCCTGGGTGATTCATGAACCCTAAAACACTCAAGTTCTCATCACCCTATCCCAACTTCCATGCTGTCTCTGTTCTTGATTTTAGTAATTCATCCAAAATGTAGTTTCATTTTAGTAGAGGCCCTTTCAGGACATCTTGTCAGGGGTAAAGAAGGAAGGAGATCTTCCCCCTTTGTTTTGCTGATCCAGCTTTCTGCTTTTGCACGGGTGTTTCCTGGTTCAGGGTGAGCTCCTCATTGTCCGGGCATTCTCTTCCAGCTACCCCCAGTTCTTTCGCCTTGGAACTGCTTTTCTGTAGAGCTTTCATAGGGAGGCGGTAAATGAACTGAGGCACCGAACAACTGCTCTAGTCCTCTTCCTGAAATCACTTGACAGGTAGTCTTCTGGACTCTTCGAAGGGCACATAAGATGTACAGCTATTGATGGAACCCCAGATAAAAGACTCAGGGCAGTAGTTTTACAGAAATCCTGAGAATTGTTTCATTTATCTGCCTGTACAAATGGCCTTTTTGAAGCCTGGTCATAGTCCACACAGAATTACTGATATTTATACTCTGTTTAAATGCGGATTTAGTTATTTTTCTCATACCCTTTGGCACAGGGTTTGATCTTCCTGTTTCAGTCACTTACTGCTGCTGCTTCTGGACATTCTTATGTAATCCCTACAATTTTGTCCTTTAGCTCCCATCTCCTCCGAAGATCCCCGTCCTTACAGATAACCATGTCGAGGCTGCTGACTGACTCTTTTTCAAGGATTCAAGTTGCTTTCCATCTCCTCCTTCTACCGGAAACCCCACGAGCATACACACAATAAAAGGAACGGAGTTGCACTTGCTGGGATGGCCTTACTTTTGCTGCTCTACTGTTCTCCATTTCTCATTATTAGACGATTTTCAGAGATTAACATTCTGAAGAGAGTTCGAGACTTTTCCTTCCCTGATTCTTCAAACTTTCCCAAGGCAGAATCACGTTATCCCATTTCCAAGGAGACGTACTTACTTTAGGATACTGTATTCTGCCAAAATAAAGGCGAGTGTGTGGGTAGGGCATATACTCTTTTTAGTCTTTTCCTCCCCCACAAACTTGACAAATGGGTCAGCCAACCAACATCACTGGCACTGTAAGAAGGGAGAAAACGTTACAGGTGTGTTTTCAGGGAGAGTTTCTGCAGCGAGGAGAAACAGGTTGCTTGAGAGAGATGTCAGAGGTCAAACAAGCTAAAAATACTTGTGTGGAAGAGTGCCAGTGTACTAATCTGCATGTAGCATATTACAATTCACTCCTTCTCAGTGCAGCTTTCGTTCTAAAAACCATCACTGGGCCAAACTCTCATTTGGGCTGCCGTCCTTCACGGGAGCCTGGAGAATCATGACTTACTGTGGAGAACATAGTATCTTTCTCCTCCGGCAAAGGGGTAACCTAGAGGTTACTGAGCGAGAGGATTGGAGCAAATGGTCTCTGCCAACTTCTCAGGACTCAGAGAGGTGTTTCTTGTTCACTATATTGTTGCTCAGTGGAAAGAATGCATCTTCTAATGCCTCCATCATTTGACTTGGACTTTGGAGAATGAGGGAATGCTTTTTAGCCTGACTTGGTCCTAGTACTTTGATATAAATCCAATAAATGAAATTCTCCATGGGGTTCATCTGAGTTCACTAGATTCTGCTCTAGAGTTTGAAGGCTGTTTCCCATATAAAAATATATTTTGCCTTTCTCTTTCCATTTATGCCTCTTGGGACTCTGAGGTGATGATGCAGAGTATTCCTTGGTTATTCCTGAACGGGTAAACTCTATTAATTTCATAACTTCATTAGCGTATCATTTCATCATTTCCAATCATGTAGCAATTCTCTTGTCTGTTCATTTAGAACTGCTTTAGGGCTTCCTCCCAATCTTTTAAATCCTGGCTCTTCTTCAGGAACTTTTATTTAGCGGTGTTCAGGAACTCCGGTACTTAGAGCTGACCAGTCTGCAGGAAGCCCCCTGTGAAGGGCAGGGGTATCCCGCACCCTCGTGTCTCCCCTGCTCGGCTCTACTTTTTGCCCATCCCTGGTGCTTGTACCGGTTCTATGGCTGCAAACTGATTCTGCTCATGTTCATATTCAGAAGACACCATGTCCCTCCAGGAAACTCAGAAAACAGTATTCTACGAGAACAGAGATTGTCGGCATATGAATCTTTGCAGGGGGATGGGCAATAAAGGAACTAGTTGATATACCAACGAACTGTCTCTCAAACTTTCCCCTATTCACAATTCTGTCGACAGATTTTCACTTACGGCAATAATGCAGATAAAGGAACAAATACAATTTGCTTTCCAAACTGATCAATTTGTACCTCCAGAATTTTTTTCCATAAAAAGGTATAGGTTGGGAGAATATCTTTTGAGGCTGTGACATTTTGCCCAGGAAAAACTGTGTTTACACCTTCCATCTATGGTCAGAATGTCTGCATCTTAGGATTGTCTCTTGTGCAAATGCCAGGCTCAGACCTGACCTCTTGTGTGCCTAAATCCCACCCGTGGCTCTGCTAACCATGCCAGGCCTTTTCTATCCTTACGGAAAACTACTCTGTACGCCCTGACGTTTTTGTGAATGATGAGTGATGTTCAAAAGAATCAGGAACGTGGGCCCTGGAAAGTGAATGTGTAAAATGGAAAGTCCCAGAAACCAGGGAACTTGGCTGCGGCATTACTTTATTTATTTCATATGTGTGTATTTCCAGAAGGACAATGGCTGACTGGTATTAAAACCAAACCAGTCAACTAGAGTATCTTACTGACCAAAATGAGTATTCCCTTGCTGAGCTAGTCGTTGAGACCTTGTTAGCCCACCCATACCCCTCTGGTGCACGCTGGCATGGAACAGACTGAGAAAGAGCAGAAGGCAGGCGCAGAAGGCAGGCGCAGAAGAGTCTCCCTTCTCATGCTATGACCCCACACCCTGTGCTCCACTTACGGAGGACGGTCTCCCCCATCCTTGCCTCTCCCCCAGTCAGAGCAACTGAGGTTCACAATTACTCAGCCTCATTTCCTTGGAACCTTAATCAGGCAAGAGATCCTTGGGCCATGAGATACTACTATTTACTTCTTAATTACATGAAAATGAAATCATGTAAGAAAAAGCAAACACCACAAATACATGAAAGCCATTTACTCCTGGTAAATTCTTCAGGGTCCCAATTGCTGGGGTTCACAACTTTCTCTGGTATCAGAGAACCGAGGCAGGGATTTGGGGTGCTGGGTATCAGGAAAATAGTCTTGATAACCTTAGCCAGCAGCCATAGATCTTTCTTAACTTTTCCATAACCATCTCAGGTCTTCTCCAGTTTTCTTCATGTAAATGAAGTGACTTAGTCAATCATGATTCTATAATTATTCTAGTGCCTCTGTGAGCTGACACTATTCCAAAATTCCCTCACAAGCCCATGCAGAGGGTGGGATGGGTGGGCTTGTACGTATGTGGGAATGTAAATTGTTTCATGATTTAATTATGCCTTACTGACTCTCTCAGCACCCAAATGCTACATCTGACTTGTAGTAGAAGTGCTAGGGACAAAACCAAGAGGCTGGTAGAATGGAATTAAGGGGAGGCATTGAGTGTTCTAACAGGGAGAAACCCCACAAGGAAAGACGCTTCTGACGACGTCCTCCTTCCTAGCAGTGTCTGGCACCTGGTATCATTTTGACGGCGGCCTCGAGGTTTTCAGCATCAAACACTTCTCTCCCCTATCCCCACCACGGGGGAGTGGATCAGTGAGAGAGCTGTAGTTATCCTGTCAACGTGTGGCAAGGCCATCAGGATGCGAATCTCCTGCCTTGAGTTCAGGGCTGTACGCTTTAAGATCTGAGCCTGGTAAGGACAGAATCCTAAAGGCTGGTCCCTTACCCAACCTAAGGGGTTGGCCTGGGCCACTTTAAGCTTGAGGCTATTAAGTAGTCTTTAGGGTACATAACAGCCTATCCTGGGGGAAAGGTAATAACCACAACCTCTCATGTCTTCTCATTCCCCTACTTAACAACCACGAGGTGCGGAGGCTGGGGCACTCCTGTCAAGGAGGAGCCTCGATTCAGGATGTCCTTGAGCAAAAATTCCCCTCAAGGAGTTAAAGAAGTTTGAGAGGTTCTGCCCGGGGGGTTTTCATTAGCTGTGGGCAGAGGCTATGCAGATCTGGGCAAGTCAGGGAGACTCCCTAGAAAAAATCCTCCCAGGCTGACAAGACAGCCTCTCCTAGTCCATCCCTGGGTGAAGGCAGCTTTCTTTCCATGGGCAACTAGCTAGGAGGTCTTGTCTGAGTGGGTCCTCTGATGCCTGATTAAGTGATAGCCTCTGCTGAAGCTTTTTCCACAGGTAGGGCACGTGAATGGTTTCTCGCCAGTATGTGTTCTCTGGTGCCGGACGAGGTGGTCCCGCCGACTGAAGGTTTTCCCACACTCGTTGCACCGGCAGGACCGCACCGAGGCGTGTCCTCGCAGGTGCTTGGCAAATGCGGCGCGATGGCTGAAGCACCGGCCGCACTCGCTGCAGAGATGCAGCTCCTCGGCCGAGTGAGTCTTCCGGTGCGCCAGGTACCGCCTGTGGTCGCTGAAGTCCGCGCCACACTCCCCGCACAAGTAGGGCTTGCCTCCCAGGTGGATTCTTTGGTGTGTCGTCAGCACACATTTCTGGCTGAAGCTTTTGCCACAAATAGTACAGAAGAAGGGTCTTTCTCCTGTATGTGTCCTCTGATGCCTGACGAGGTCCGAAGCCCAGCGGAAGTGTTTTCCGCAGTCGTCACATCTGTAGGGTTTCTCAACAGGTTGAGTTCTCTTAGTCTGGACCAGAGGGGAGGTCTCGTCCAGGCTCCTCCGGTTCACAGGAAGTTTATGAGCAGCGCCCATTTTGTGAACCTTTTGGTGCCTGGCAAGGTGGGAGCTCCGTGTGTAACTTTTTCCACACTCCATACACTTATAGGGTTTCTCCCCCGTGTGAGTCCGCAGGTGCCTGACAAGGTGGGAGTTACAAGTGAAGCTTTTTCCACAGACAGGACAGTTATGATGTCTCCCTAACAAGGGGTGGAGAGGCATGGTTTCCTGAAGATTTGTTAAACTATTAACTTGAGAAATATTTGTACCAAATCTTCTTTCATTCAGTCTACCTGGATCACCCTCAAAGACTATTTCCCAGTCTGGAGTCTGGTGAATTTCTGGATCTCCCAGAACAGACCTGCTGACGTCTTCCACGTTCGGATCTTCTTGCTCAGGACTTTGGTCCCCATCTTCACTCCTGTCTCCTGCAGAGAGGGTGACGGGAGGAAAGGGGATATCAGAAATGCAGTGACGGCTTCCACACAATGGGCGGTTTTTAAACAGTTTTAGAAGGGCCAGACCACAGAGCCGAAAGCCCATTTTCGTAACTGTGGAGGTTGGGAAAGAAGGAAGTAACCAGCCGGCTGGACGCCTGCCGTGTGCCAGGTACCGTCTCAGGTCGCCTCGAGCCGCCAGCAAACCGGAGCACGGACAGATACTCCCATCCTCACCTCACAAACGTGGAGACTGAAGATGGAGAGTTTAAGGGGCCTACTTAGGAAATGGTTTAGCTGCAACTCCAAACGTTGTTTTTTGTTTCTGTCACCGTGTGGCATTACGTATCCCTCCAATGAAGGACGGGAGGGGTGAAGAGGAGGAAAAGGACAGAAGAATCTGGTGTTCAGGGGAGACAGCAGGAATGGCTGACGTGTTAGAAAAGCCAACGAGGGGCTCCCTGGAGGCCAGAGTGCTGACAGGAGGACGCGTCAGCTCGGGGCGGGGGGCAACGCTTTGTCGTTCCTCACCTGTGTAGGTAAAGCTCAGGATTTCTGGTTCTTGAGGCTCCTGAGGCCCTGGGATTTCCGGGACCAGAGGCTCTTCCTCTCTTCCATGGGGGGTCTCATCTAGTCTGGGGATTGGAAATGCTGCTCAAGAGAGGGAGACGGGACATGACGGTTGGCTCACCAACGCCCTGGGTTAAGAGCACACCTCTTCTGTCTGGCAGATTGTAAAACAATTATTTAGCCAGGTCAGTCGATCAAATATTTGGTCCTTTTTCACTTGAGCACCTGTAACCAAGGACTACATATCTCTTGCCTCTCATCTGTGACTCAATAATTATACAACTGTAAAAGGTACCCTTTTTTCCCATATCCAGGGGAATATGATTATACTGCTTGTTTCAAAACTCATATGCTTACCTCAAAAACACTGCAACTTTTCCATTATTTAATAAATTACAATATTCAACATTTTAATTTACAATTTATATACTTAATAATAAATATATAAAATAATATTTAAATATTACAATTTTCTTATCAGATGTTCCCAGCCACTTTCTAAGCACTTTCTCTTCCCTTTACCTTGGAAAGATGTCTCACTGGTGTGGTGGGCATAAGAGAAGTGTATCACATACAGTCTAAAGCCTGAGATCCTCCATAATTTTCCAAAGGGAAAAAGATCTCTGTGCTCAGAACACTCTAGAAATACTCGAAATTCCTTACACAAGGAGACCACAATTCCACAGTCTTCTTCCAAGACGTATTCTCCATAGAACTCTTTCTGTGTTGGATCCAAATCACTCCACTGGTCCTGGGAGAAGCACACGGCCACATCCTTGAAAGTTACCAATCCCTGAAACAACACAGGGGCCAGTTAAAAATGGAGGCTTCACGGAGCCTCCTGTTTTGTTCCCAGAATGAAGGCCATCCGGGAGACAAAAAGAACTGAAATGGGACACCCCAGTCCCTTTCAGGAAAGCTGCCTGGCCCTCTGTCGCTCCGCCCTGATGCTCTACCTCCGCACCGGCCCTTCCTGCCCCCTGCCCCCCACTGCTCTCTCTCTCTCTCAGGATCAGCCCGCGTTCCCCTTCCGGAGGATAAAGAGCCACCATTCAGCTCCCCAGTTGGCCCTTTAATGCTGCCCACATTTCGGTAGAAATTTGTATTTTCTAGGAAGCTTTCCCGGATTGACCTAATTACAGGATCACCTACAAGGAATATATAGCATCAACAGGACCTTCTTCCTTCCGCTTTGATACAATGTAAAAACAAGCAAGAATTCTACTCTTTTTTTCTCCAGCCACATGGCTTGAGCTCAGGGCTCTGACCGTGGTGAGCGCCTCGCAAGCATCCTGGCTGACTGAATGCAGTTCCCCGAAGAGCACACAGCACAATTCAGACTGTCTCAGCGGCACAGATGGCCGTTTTTAGAAATGATTATCAAATTTACTTCTAAAAGCAAAACAAACCCTCGTTCAACAGCTTTAAAGCTGTACTGGAGTGTTACAAGGTAATCCCATTTTGTTAGTCCTCCCAAGCCAGTGCAGACCTAACCAGGACTATCATAACCGATCTCATTAGACACACACCCCCCTTTTGACAGACATGCAGAACTGAGAACATAAACTGGCAGGAGGCGGGTGGAAGTCTGTGTCCTGTCTGGCCTGCTCAGTGAACAGCTAACCTCCAGGGGCCCCCTGCCTTCCCTGTGTGGTACAGGGGAAACTAGGTGCACCTGGGACAGAGCTGTCAGGAGGGCAACCATATCTGCGTTTCCAGAGTTCCTCTCCTCAGGAAGGTCTGGGAGCTGGAGCACTGGAACCTCTAAGAAAAGAAGCAGAAGTCAGCAATATGCAGTGCACCCCCAAAACTGGCAAAAGCGTCCCTTCATCTTTGGTGGGAAGGTGGGAATCAAGACACTGGCCTAAGCACGGCCTTTGGTGGGAAGGTGGGAATCCCAACGCCGCCACCTGTTACACTGTCAGCAGGCCAAGGGAAGGCCCAAGATTACTGCTCCCTAAGCTTGGCCCGGGGATTCCAGCTCAGACTGTCTTCTCCCAACACCCCAGATTCCGTGATTTATTCCCATTATGATCAACCCAACCTCCCTGGCAGAGCAGAAATACCCCTCCCCGCACTCAGCCACGAAGCCCCCTTCCTGCTGAGGCTTCCCACCGCTCTCCTGCAGGGGCTGCAACTGCGACTCGCGGCCCGGGCTCTGCTCCTGTGGCTCCCCCAGATTTGGGCTCGGTGGGGTCTCCTCCTGGGCCTCCTCAGGTGGGGAGGCCTGCACAGGGTCCTGAAGCTCCCCAGGTGACTCAGGCTCTGCTCCTGCAGCCGCTGTCTCTTCTGACAGGACTTCCTGGCCATGAACATGGACCGTCACCTGGGAATAAGTCCAACTTCCAGTCACCACGGAGTCGGGAGGGGAGTCTTGGCTGTCATCAGGGCTTGTTTTAGGAGAAGCTGCCGACGGAGAAACTCCCAGAGGGGCCCAGATGAGGGCAAACTCCTGTTGCACTGGGGCCCAAGGCTGTCCTCACTGGGAGAGGGCAGGGCGCGTTCAGACACTCTCTTGCCCCCCTCTACCCCACTGCTGCCGCTCAGGGCTTTAAGGCACCCATCCTTCCCATCCCCCCATCCCCCCTGCGACTCTGCTGGTCTGCCTCCGCCTTACCCTCCTGGGAGGGGGACCTGTGGCTGAGGGTCTATGAGAACCTTTGAGGAAGTTACAAAATTCTCCCCTGGGCCTGGAGGTTCAACACCCAGAGAAGGGAAATCAAAGCCATATGAACCGCGGCTGCTGAGTCCCCTCAGATGGTCCCCAGACAGGTGTTTCAAACACCAGGAAGTCACACTCACACACACGTACACCCATCTGACCCACGCAGCTCACACATCTGGGCACACCCCAAGGGCAGACCTACCCACTTTCAGAGGGTAGCTTGTAGGGGTCCTGTAAGCCCTACCCCCAAACCCACGCTGCCAGCATTATCCCCTCCACATCACACAGGTCAGGACTCCCCCTCCTCACCCACCGCCTTGGTCTCATGGGCTGTTTCTGCAAACCCTCCACCAGCGTCACAGCCTCCTCGCCGCTCTCTGGCCGCTGGCCGCGCACCCAGCTCTGCAGCTCTCCGGGCAGCACCGTGAGGAACTGCTCCAGCACCAGCAGCTCCAGGATCTGCTCCTTCGTCCGCCTCTCTGGCCTCAGCCACTGATGGCAAAGTTCTCGGAGTCGCATGAGAGCTTCTCGAGGGCTTGCTGCTTCCTGGTAGCGAAAGCGACGGAAGTTCTGGTGGGAGGTCTCGTGCACGGGGTCATCCCTCTGTAAGACAGGCTCCGGCCCACAGGGAGGGTCATCTTCCAGTTTCACCATTAGAATCCCCTCTTCTTCCCAAAGGTCCTGGGTCTCTAGCTCCACGGCGGCAGCCATGGTCTGGCTCTGGGGTGGCCTTACACCACCTGGCGCTCACACGGTCATTGCCTCCGGGGCTCTGCCGGGACACTTTGACGAGTTCCTCCCATGGGCCCTGGGGGAGAGAAATGAAGACAAACAACAGTATAAGAACTCATATAAAGGATTAACAGTTCTGAGCTAACCATAATCATATATACATAACACTTCTCAAACCATTAAATCCCATGTCCCCCAATCTCCATAACTGCATGTTTTAAAGAGATCGGGCTGGAATGGCATAATCTATGCCTGAAGGTATCTTCTCCCACCCTTTTTTTAAACAAGGTTTACACTTAATAGAAAAAAACCCCTGTATTCCTACCTCATGAAATCTGTGAACCTAAAGGAAGATGGCGAGGAGAAAGGACTGATAATTAATCACCTGCTACAAAACGTGGTGTTGGCAGGTCGATTTCACACACCCCCGCTTAACATATATTATTACTAGGATCTATATTCTGAGAAGAGACACATCAGCTGGACTGAAACAGACAGCACAGGCTTTATGGAGATTCATGCTCAACTGAACTACCCTCAGTATTAATTTCCTCTGTAAAATGGGGACTGAGGTGTGAGGGCAGGATTGCGTGGTGAGAAAAGCCGCTTACACAGTGGCTAGCACACAGGCACCCCAAAAGCAACCTTGCTCTTGTTAAGACATCTTTCCCTGGAAGACCTACAGGCCCTCAAACTCAAGTGTTCAAAACGGCATCATTATTCTTACTCCCAAATCCACCCCTCTTCCAAGAATCCTGTCTTGGCTGAGATCACTTGTTAAGAAAACACTTGACTTTGTAATCCTTGGGTGTGACAGCTCATTAACCCAATTCTACTCTTAAGCCTCCCAATCTGCTCCCCATCTTCTTTCCCACACATGGCTTTAGTCTAGGCCCTTGTCTTACCTGGTCGACTGCCCTAACTTCCTGACTGGGACCCCTGCTGTACTGGACCATGAGCAAAGTGCAACCGAATCACCTGTGGAACTTTTGCAAAACAAGCATCACACACCATTCTTCTGGGTGTTCTGAGCCAGTCAATCTAGGCAATTGTACCTTTAGAAATGCTAGTGGTCCTCATGTGCATCCCAGTTAAGAAACCCCTAGGGTGAGAGTCCTGGAGTCAGGCTGCTAGGTTTGAACCCTGGCTCTGTTACTTACTAGGTACGGGGTCTTGGGCAAGTTCTCACTCCCCTTACGCCTGTTTCCCATTTGCGGAATAGAGGTCAGAATTGCACATGCATCTGACAGGGTGACTGAGGAGTCCGTTTATCACTATGCATGAAGTGCTTCGAGTGACGGCATTCCAGTGTTAACTATTACTTTTCTAAATTACAGTTCCAACTGCGCATTCAACATCTAAAAATAACTTCTAAGACCAGTTATAAAATCCTTGGCACTGCACATAAAGCTTTTCATAATCAGCCCGCCCTCTCTTTTTCAAGCCTCTTACCCTGCCCCTTTCTCTGTATCACCTGCTGTCATGAATGCACTGCTGATCTCCCTACAACAGGGTGCCCTTCCAGGCCTCTGTGCCTGTATGGAGTGGTTCCTTCTGCCTGGGCTACTCACCCCCCACCCCTGGTGCTGCAGGGTGTGTTCCTATTCTTCATAACAGGTCCCCTCATCTTCACTCCCGTGCTTTCCAGTTCAGGTCCTCCTCAGTTCTCGTCCAGGTTACGGCAACTGCCTCCAAACATGAGCCACCTGCCTCCAGATTCCTATTTTCAAGTTATTACCATTCAGTGTCACACGAATGAGAGCTCTTGACAGATTTGGTCATGTTCCTTCCGCACTTAAGATCCTCAGCTACTCCTCCCTGTCTTGTAAGTGAAATACAAGCTGCTAAGTATTGCACAGTAGGTCGACTCTCACATTCCCTGTGCCTCCTTCTCCAGTCTTACACACACTCATACACACACACAAATTGGTGTGCATGGGAAACACACAAAAGCCCTATGCCCTCTGGCTTCTGAACATACTGTTCGTCCTCTTTATCCTTTATTAGGCTAAACTTTATCTTTCAAGACATAGCTCAGGTCCACATCTTCTATGCCGTTTTCTTTGATCCCATTCTCCCTACCCTTAGACACTTAGAAATCACTTTGCTTCCACAGCAACCTGGCACATCTCTACCACAGTATTTGTCCTGTCACATAGCTGCTGTTTATCTTTCCTGTCAAACTCCTTGAAGTTAAAGACTGTGCTTTTCATCAATCTCTAATATGTATAATAAAGTGCACAATAAAAGCACTCAAGTGAATAAACCTCCACTTTGAAGTTTTCTTCCCACTTTAACAGGAAGAATCAGTCTGTTCCTCCATGTTTCTACTCTTTTTTACAAATCTTGTTAATTCTACCTTTTAAAATAAATGTCTTTTAAATTAATTAATCTCCACTGCCATTCTTGATGGAGCCATCATGACCCACTAAAATGTACTACAGGACCTTTTAAAAAAGTGACACTGTCCTCAGCCCCTATACACACTGGCACATAGTAGGAACTTAGATGAATGAACAACTTCAAGTTACACCACTGTTCTTCCCAGTCCTGCCCCTTCTAAACCACTCTCCACATGCAACCTGGAGAGACTCCATTTTTCAATCTTTTGTGCTCCATATCCATTTGCAAGGCCATCAGTCACTCTTAACAGTTGGGTCTAATGTGCTGCTGCCCATCAAATGAGTGTACTTTCAATGACCACATCATTCATTTTTATTATCTGTATCCCAAGTTGATTTTCATTCATGTTATTTCTCTTCCATTATCCTCAACCGTTTACTACATACTTTCATAGTCTGTCTTTAGATAGTTCCGTAGTTTCTAGATCTTAATGTGCTCATTTTCCTATTTCCTGACTCTACTGCGTCTGTCTGATGGTGCTTTATTTTCTCATGTGGTTTATAATTTTAAAAATTTTATGCCCATTTCAGTGAGATTTTTTTCTTTGGGAGTCCTGAGAGAAGATGGAATTGATACACAGAGTTCTTTAGCTTAATGAAGGGACATCTATTACCCTAAGGGTCTGAGAGCCCACGCCCAGTGAAGCCCATAGGCCCTGTTTTCATGTAGCACCAGCTGCAAGAGATTCCCTACTATTAAGTATGAATGGACAGTAAGGTTCCTGCTCTCACAGGGCTTGGATCTCCAAAGGAAAAAGGGTGTATCATCACCACATAAAACCTGCCATTTTTAAATGCCCTTCAGAAATCATGAATTGCAATTTCCATTGCTTGTTCTGTTATTTAGTTTGATAGCCTAGGAAGATGAGATGAAGGCAAACAGACCAGCAAGAGCAGAATGAAGGAAGGAAGGGAGTCCTGGGGAGCGGAGATGGGAAGGAACAGGGGCTGGTGCTGCTGAGGAAGGTGCACCAGATTGCATGCCCAAGGAAGTGTGCTCCAACCCTGGATCCCCACGTGACTGCAGCTGCTCGAAGGGTGTCATAGGGTGACATACACAAGAGCCCTTGTAAAGGGTGACACCCTCTGCAGATAACCGCTCTCCCAACACACAGGATTAGCTAAAATCTGTGAGAACTTATAAACTAGAATGAGCGGTGCAAATGTTAGGTGTCAGTATTAGACAGAAAATGAATGTTGTGTTTTATTGTACAATTCATGGGATCTGCTATACTGCAAAGTCTGCCTTGCTATTTGTTACCTTTGCTATTCTAACACCTTCCACCAATGTCTGTCCTTGGAAGGGTTTCACAGTGACCGATAAAAACTCAACAGGCTATACAGAGACTGTAAAGCCAGGCCAGGAAAAGTGAGACTTGGTTCCAGAAGGTACACAGAAAACGATGTCTGCAGAACACTTCACAAGCCCAGGCCTGGGCAGGCCCTATGGCTTCGTCTTTTGAGTATGTGTTTCTAGGACATATGGGACAGGATCGGGGAGAAGTGGAAAAGGCCAAGACCTTTTTCCAGTCACCTTTGGTCCAGCTGTCTGTGCTCCTTATCTGAATGTGTCACATGCCACTGAAGACTCTAATTCAATTCTATTGACAAAACAGAAAACTTTAGCCAAGAAAGGACATTAGTTCTCTACCTTAAAAGACTGCTACTTGGGAAGATCTTTCTGTACCCTAAATGAACAAGCTTTATAGTCATATAAGATCTAACTAAAGGAGAGATGGTGATCTATTCACTGGCAAATAATCTTCAGAAGAAAGTAGTGACAGTGAGGGTCAAATGATTATAGTTAGCAGTATCTGGGCCTCTTCCAGTCTCTATTCCTATGACCCTAATGCAGGCCCATGACCTGGAAATGTGAATGTGACTGCCAAGCAGAACTTGCAACAGCAACTCTCATTGTTCTACAATAGAAATCGACTAATAAAAATTGTTAACTGACCTTTTTTCCAATGCTGCATAGTTCTTTAAAAGATTATCTTTAAAGATCCTTCTACTGGGAAGACTCTTTTTTTGTTTATTATCCTAGCGACAAACGCTTATCCATGCTTCCACATCTTGCATAGGGGCTCTGGAGCCCTGCCTTTGGATCCCGCCCCTCACTCATCGGCCACGTGACACTCCCTAAGTCTCAGTCTCATCTTCAAAATGTGGCTAATGCTACCGGCCTCACATGGTTGTTTTAAGGAGTAGATGAAGTGACATACAGAATCATTCCGCAAAGAGCCAGGTCAAAGGTAAATGTTCAATATATTTTGTGCTCTTTCATTCAAACTGCTTTAAATCTTTTTGGGAAGAAGGCAAGATTTAAACGATAAACATGCAAACAGTCTTTTATTTCATTATAATTAAAAAAATTTAAATGCACAGGAAAAATCTTGGTCTGTTTACTGTTGTATCAGAAGTAAAGTGTTAAATCAAAAGAAGAGTCCTTGTTTTGAAGACACTTAGATGCTAAGAGTAAATACAATCCTTGGAACACAGATGGGATGGAACCGTAAAGTTTTAAGTTCTCCTGCCGAGGACCCTATAAGCAACACTTCTCCTTGCTCATATCCCAGTCCTGTCCCCTCCCTCCAACAGGGAGGATGCGGTCTGAGGCAAGCGCAGTTAGGATACACAGAAAGTGAAGCTTAACCCAGAAGGCAAAAGAAATGAGAGGGAAGGCATTCACTGACATTTGGTCTCTAACACATCATAGTCAGTAAGCTTCAAGCCATTTTAAACACTATTGCTTAAATTAAAGTATTTTTCCCATTTTAATTTCTTCCTTTGTTAGATTCAGTATAAAATACCTGAGTAGTATGGGGAGAAGTGGCACTAACCTCATTACCAATTGGTTTCAAAGAAACAGATTGAAGTGTAGTGAAGGGGAAGACAGCAAGAAGTAACGGAGGCTAAATGAGTAGTGGACAGTGCAGGACGTCAGCTAAGACATGGATATCTTCTGCCCTGAATTTTTGTAGACTTGGAATAAAAATATCACTGAGAGTGAATGTAAACACACAAAGAAATATAAATTAAACCTCTAAAAATCATTAACAATTCACTTAATCTTTAATTAAAACATTCTCCATAGGTATGTACCACAGGCCCAGGAGGCGATGTTGGACTACTGACAGTTCTGCCTTCAGAGGTAGATGAACTGTGTTTTACCTCCCAACATGTGCCGTCTAGGGTGAGTCACATCAACTCATCTTGAAAATGGAGGTAATTCTCTACATGAAGGCAGAGAAATGGATCATCTTTTGAGAGACCATCCAGCTTTTTGATGGTGATAAAGGGGGGGCTTTGAGAGGACCAAGGATATGTGGGTTCTTTATTGAGCACTTGGGCCATGATATATTAGCCTAGGGTTGGTGAGAATCATTTATTCAAGCGTGGAGAAAGGCTGGGAGCCAGATATAGAATTAAGGATCTGGCTGTCACGATTGGTTAACCCGAAGCTAGGCTTTTTACCCTGAGAGTTATTACCTAGAGGTGGTAGTTGGCCTCAACAAAGCAGGTCAATCTATGTACGTCTCAGTTTGAAACAGAACATTACAAACTAATCTAATGTAGGAGAAGGCAGGACATGAAATCTGACACTCACCCTGATGAGGGCAGGGGCTTTCATTTGGCAGCCAGAATATAACTAACTGAATCCAATTCATTACTACAATGAACATGGTCAATGTCAACCATACAGAACGTCAGAGGAATCATTACCTAATGAAAAGTAACAGGATAATTTATATTATCCTGATCTTAGGTATAAAAATTGGTAATTGAGAACAGTCAATTAAAAAGTCATTACTATGTTTCCAGTTTTGTAATTAATATTCTCTGACAGGATACTCCTTGCTCTGGAACTAGATGACTTCCTTCTGGCTTTGCCCAAGCCCCCTTGAAATGATGAGATGATAAGGGAGGGGACCCTCCCCTGCTAGACCGGAAGAATCTGAGGAGTCTCAGGTTTCCACTGCAGATTATATCACTGTCCAAAGCAGAAGTAATCCCAGGATGCCATTCCTGCTGTGGGCACTGGTTAGTGTCTTTATCTCCTGGACGCTAAGGGTCAGGGCCTCCTTATTTTTGTATTCCCAGCGCCAGACACTTTGTAGGAAAAAAAACGTGCTTAATAATTGCAAGCTGAATTTAATTAAGTGATTCCTCTCCCCCCCCAGCTTGGACAGAGCACTGAAATTCAGAATCAGCAGGTGCTAGGGCTTCTGGGCAATAAACCACTCACAGGGACAGTTATGGGAATTTGGCATAAGCATTTATTCCAATCTCCTGGGGAATCAGGTGGCATAGCCATATGCTGTTTTACTATGTGGCATAGGATTAGTGGAGAAAAACAACTTCAAGAGGGTAGGTGGGGAGAAGATGGGAGTTATTCATTCTACAAATACCTACTGAGCATCAACCGTGTGTCCTACCCAATTCAAGGTGCTGGGCACAGAAAGGTGAAAAAAACCACAGTCTTTTTTACCTTAAAGGTTTTTACCTTGTAACATGTA